AATGTCACCCTCAAGTCGTCTACTAGGGTTTCGACGTGTTTGGTCTTGACGACCACATCGTCTACGTATGCCTCTACGGTTTTGCCTATCTGGGTAGCCAGACATGTCTGAATCATGCGCTGATATGTTGCCCCGGCGTTTTTGAGTCCGAAGGGCATTGTGTTGAAGCAGAATGGCCCATATGGAGTAATGAAAGCCGTTGCGGCCTGGTCTTTTTCCGCCACCTTGATTTGATGGTATCCAGAGTATGCATCGAGGAAGCACAATGAATCGTGCCCTGCGGTAGCATCGATGATTTGGTCGATGCGAGGGAGAGGGAAAGGGTCCTTTGGACAGGCCTTGTTAAGGTCTTTGAAATCGACGCAGAGGCGCCAGGATTTGTCCTTTTTTGGTACCATTACTAGGTTGCCTAGCCAGTCCGGATGTTTGATATCTCTGATGAATCCGGCTTCTAAGAGCTTGGCTAGCTCCTCTCCCATTGCCTATCTTTTGGGTTCGGAAAATCGCCGAAGAGCTTGTTTGACTGGCTTGAATCCTTTTAGGATATTTAGGCTGTGCTCTGCCAGCCTGCGTGGGATTCCTGGCATGTCTGAAGGATCTAGGCAAAAATGTCCCAATCTTCCCGGAGGAATTCTCGTAGTGCGGCTTCTACATCAGGATTTAATTGTGCCCCAATGGATGTCGTCTTTGTGGGGTCCGTTGGATGGACCTGAAATTTGACTATTTCGTCTGCTGGTTTGAAAGAGGTGGACTTAGACCTCTTGTCGAGTATCACATCGTCCCTATCCACCGTGGAGCACAACGCAGTTAATTCCTCTGCCGCTAGGGCTTCGGATAATGCCTCTAGGGCCAGTGCGGCTGTCTTATTTTCAGCGCGGAGTGCTGTATCTGGATCACTGGCGAGAGTGATTATTCCATTGGGTTCGGGCATTTTGAGCTTCATGTACCCGTAATGGGCTATAGCTTGGAAGATTGTGAATGCCTCTCGCCCTAACAAAGCGTGATATCCGCTGCCGAATGGGGCCACTTGGAACGTGACCTCTTCGGACCTATAATTGTCCGGCGAGCCTAACACTACATCTAGTGTGATTTTTCCTATGCAGCGTACTTCTCGACTAGGGATTATTCCCCTGAAGGTTGTGCTGCTTCGCTCAATGCGGCTCCAGTCAATTTCCATTTTTGAAGGGTTTCCTCGTAGATGAGGTTTAATCCGCTGCCGCCATCCATGAGTACCTTGGTAAGACGAAAGCCGTCCACTATCGTACTGAGGACCAATGCGGCTGGTGCTCTAGCTATTTGGAATTTAGGTTCATCGCTGGCATTGAAGGTGATAGACGTGTCGCTCCATGGATTTGTTGTTGCTACTTGGTAGACTTCGGCAAGACTACGGATTGTTCGTTTCCGCATGTTATTTGATGCGAAAGTCTCGAAGACTGTTAATACCGTACTGGTGCTGCTGGGCTGGTTGCCCAGGACTAAAAAGCCTTCGCCACTTTTGGCCACCTGCCGTAATATCCAACATGCTCGAAGGCTATGTGTTGGGGTGGCGCCCTCCGTACTGTGGATTTTGCTGGGTCCGTTGAGCCATCCCTCCAGTACGGTTCCGTACCCTTTATGGGGTTTTTGCTTTTTGGTTTTTAACCCAGGTGCTTGAGTATGACGCACCCTTTTATATCGGACTGGGGTTGTATTTAGGGCCGGATTGTCCCAAAACCTACTTTCGGTTTTCCAGGCACTTTCCATCGCGCAATATTTTTGTACAATGGTCGCTAGGTCGGCGAAGCGTGTAACTTCGCGATGACTGATGGCGTTTATGATTCCCTTGTCCGTGCAATTGTTGCAGAAGATTGAAATCGCGCTTTTTTCACGGCAGTCCTTTATCCTGTCCATAACTAGGAGGAATCTGGCCCAGTAATGATGTACTGTTTCTTCGGGCTCTTGCCGTATTTGAGATAGATTGCTTATGTTTGGGTGGGCGGGCGGAATCAAGTTCGGAACCCCGTCCAATCTGAGGCTCAAAGGCCAAGAAGCTTCCGGATTCGGAAGCTTGGTTTGCTGGACGCTTTCCCACAAATCTGGTCCGATGCCTGACTTTAGGTTCAGTATTTGATTAGCGTCCGTCCCTTCGCGGGAATCCGGCATGGAGGGATCAGGAATCCGGGCATAGTTGGTTTTTATCATAGAAGAAGAGTCGCCGCATTGTTCCTCTACCACGACAACGTGGTGGGTAACCTGGGGAGAGTTGATGTCTCTCAGATCGGTTTTAAGCCCAATCTGATCGTAGTCGGTAGCGACTCCCAGGGCGGCGATGAGATCCAAGAGCTCGTTTACGGAGGAGAGCTCAATCGGATCTAGCTGCTCGGCGAATTCCGAGCTGACATGAAGATCGCTTTTAATGACTTGAGAGGTCATTGTTGGAGCGGTGGCCGAACAGGCGGTCATAAGAAAACCGCCTAGCCGGATAGTCTGGCCAGAGGCCAAAGCTCCCTTGACAACGGTGCCATCTTTAAAGACGGGGAAAGGCATCCTTCCTGACGGTGACGGCACAGAGGAACTCTCAATGAAAGCACCAATGTCGGTGTCAAAACCGGCGGATCTCGGGTAGGGGGTCCCGAACTGTGCGTCTAGGCGGATGGTAACAGGAGACAAGGGACACGATATTTTACCCAAGTTCGGGCCCTCTTGATGGAGGTAAAACCCTACATCCTGCTTGATTAATATTGATGATGTGTGTTACAAGAGTGGATCTACCACGAGATCAAGGAGGCTAAACCCTAGAAGCTAGCCTATGGTATGATTGTTGTTCGTCGTAAGGACTAAAGCCATCCGGTTTATATAGACACCGGAGAGGGCTAGGGTTACACAGAGTCGGTTACAATGGTAGGAGATCTATATATCCGTATCGCCAAGCTTGCCTTCCACGCCAAGGAAAGTCCCATCTGGACACGGGACGAAGTCTTCAATCTTCTATCTTCATAGTCTTGGAGTCCGGCTGATGATGATAGTTCGGCTATCCGGACACCCCCTAGTCCGGAACTCCCTCAGCGACCTCGGCGTCCTCCTCCTCACCGCCTTCGATGTATTCTTCTCGCTCCAGGTCAGCCCTCCTCCTCCTCCCCCCTATCCGATTCGATCCGGAATCCTAGCTGACCCATCCCCATCCTCCTTCGGCAGCACGAGGGCGACTTCTCATTCCGGGAGGCGTGGTACCACATGTTGAACGACGGGTTCCCGGTCAAGCAAGACGTGGACCGCCTCCCGCCGCCGCTCTTCGCCGACCTCAACGGCGACGGCCGCCGCGAGGTGCTGCACCCCACGCACGACGCCAAGATCCAGGTCCTCCAGCTCCCGGCCACACCGGGCTGTCCTCCACGTCTGCCCTCAACGGCTTCCACGAGGCGCGCGTCATGGCCGAGATCTCCCTGCTCCCGGCCAACGGGAGCGTCGCCGCCGCCCCATCGCCATGGCCGTCGGCATCGTCGACCGAACCATTGACACCATTGACAGCACGCATGGGGTCGAGATTTTTTTTTGGTTTTTCAAATTAATAGTAGTAGCGTGGGTCACAGACACACGCTACAGATAGTTAGTAGCAGCGCATGTCGAACCTGCGCTACTACTAACACACATACTAGTAGCGCGGGATGCACCATGCTACTACTACTAGTTAGCTGTAGCGCCGTAGTAGTAGCGCAGGCACCCCGCGCTATTACTAGCTTTTAACCCACGCTACTACTTGGCTTTTTCCTAGTAGTGATAATTGTCATAAACACTAAGTGAAACAAATAGTTATAAAATATAATATACCACATCCGAATCGTACACAGGACAAAATTATGGCACTATATACTAACAAACAATAATAAAAGTAAAAAAATTATACAAGTATCTATCTAAATCATACAAGTAAGATTTTTTTTGTTTTAGAAAGAAGATAAGAACAAGAGGCTCACCACGGTGGTGCCGGCGACGAGATCGGCGTGGGCGATCAACGGCGGTTAGGACGGGGACAGGACGAGACGGACTGCCAAACCTAGACAAATCTTGAGGAAAGTCGAGCTTGGCGGTCGAGCTTGGACAGGAGAAAGCTTAAGTGTGGCTCGGACATTTCATCGAACACCTCATGTGCATGCATAGAAGGGAGAACAGAGCAGCGCATGCACACCGCCCACACGGTCAAAAAACAGAGGACAGGGTGGGCAGGGGCGAGGGTATATATAAGCACCTCTTCAGTCCCGATTGGTGCCTTGAACCGGGACAGAAGACTGACTTTTAGTCCCGGTTCCATTCACCAACCGGGATTAAAGATGCTGTGCCAGGAGTGAGGCCCATTGGTCCCGATTCATGTCTGGAACCGGGACCGAAGGGGTCAGACAAACCGGGACCAATGACCCCCAAGACCCGGCGACCTGGCCTCACGAACTGGGACTGATGCACCCTTTGGTCCTACATTTTTTTTCATTACTATATCCGAGCAACACTGTCATGCCTCATCATTAGTTAATGCATGTAAGTCATTAAATCTTTTGCACTAAGATTTGTGTTCTCACAGACACATTATATGTGTTGGGCGCTTATAGCATACCTGTACAGTTGATCCTTTACTCTTTTTGGGGGGAAATGACACTCTTTTAACTGGAATCTATTTTTTTTCATCTCTATCAACCACTTTTTATATGCTTCATGTTTTTTAATGTTATTGAAGTGTAAAACGAGAATACTGTTAAATTTGGTCTTCATTAGTTTTAGTGGTTTGTGCAGCACATAACTATGCATTTCTTTTAACAAAATTACTGCAACAATGTGCGGTGTATCATCTAGTTATAAAAATACATGGACTCTAATGCCTCACATTAAGAAGTAATACAAATTCCACACAACTTATCTGAAAAATATCCACTTGCACTTACTTTAATTAGTACATTACAACATTATTAATGATCTCACAACGACATCAAGAAAACAATGATAATAGAAATGGTTTTAGATGAAGACGTCTTTCAACGTGTAGCAGGAGCTAGACCAAGACCCACCGTTGGCGTCCTTAGTTCCGTCCCAAATGCATCATTCCTACTCACAACAGTGGATTGCCCACTGGTACAGGCATTATAATTCCAGCTCGAGTAATCACTGTTGCTGCCACCGGTGTTGAAGTCAGGGGTGCGGCCCTCCTCGAGCAATACACACTCCTGTAGTTGTGCCACAACGTCGGCCATGCTAGGTCGCTGTGCTGATGCCTGCGCGGAGCATTTGAGTGCGATCTCCGCCACCTTCCACACGCTGTTGACATTGTAACCGCCATGCATTCGTGCGTCTACCACTCCCTCAATGTTGCCTCTTGCTAGCCGCTGGCGCACCCAATGAATAATGTTTGTGGGCTCTGGCTCTGAGAGGATGGCTGGCTTCCCAGTGACCAGCTCTAGCAGTACCACACCAAAGCTGTACACATCGCTCTTGGTCGTGGGTTGCACAGTTGCCTGGTATTCTGGATCAACATATCCAGGTGTACCAACAAGCGTATTTGTTGAAATGTAATTTCTATTGTGGCGATCGAAGGCCTTGGACAGGCCAAAATCTGTGATCTTGGCCTCAAGTCTAGCATTCAACAAGATGTTTGTGGCCTTAACATCCCTATGGATAAGAGGTGGGTTGCAAGCCGTGTGCAGATACTCCAAGCCTACAAGTGACAAGACCAACCAATCGTAAGATCCCAGAAACATAGATGCGCATCCAACAGCACAAAGTGCCCCCAAAGAATTCAAAGGCCAGAAGAGTGTTCTGTTCTATTGTACAAAAATGTAACAACAATATATTCCATTTAAGCACGCACCTTGTGCAGATTCAACTGCTATTCGAAGCCTCTGCCGCCAAGGTAAACTTTGGCCACTTCCTGCAAAAACAATAACACCATGAATTTTGAACGAATAGACAATAGTTTAGGTGAGGTGACAATGACATGCGTATTTGCATGGCTGTTTTTTATATGGTATAGTTTATCATCTGAGTCAAAAGCTAACAAAAATTGTTAGACGGAAATTGTATTCATACCTGCAATGTGCTCTTGCAGGGTTCCTTGTGACATGTACTCATACACAAGAGCCATATACTCCCCATCCTTGCAGTAACCAATCATGGTCACCAGATTCTTGTGATGAACCCGGGTTAGAATCTGAGCCTACACAAGCACATCAAATTTCACATGGGAATCACACATTTCTGCCAAGAGTTGAAGACTAGTGCTGTCATAGGATATGGTCCCATTGTACCTCTGCGAGAAACTCTTTGACGCCTTGATTGGAGGAATGAGACCGCAACTTCACCGCCACTTGTGTACCATCCTCCAGGAAGCCATCATAGACGCGACCGAAGCCTCCTTGGCCAAGCACCCGTTCAAAGCCATTGGTTATCATCTTGAGTTCCTTGTACGTGAACCGGAGGTTGTGGTCTAGTCGCAGCGAATAATTAGCACCAGCATGGCTCGTTGGCATTTCCTCCTCATTCTGCGGCTTTATTGTCACCATATTGTCCATTGACCCTTCATGTATAAATAGGCAATTGATTAATTAGTGTACCAAAAGGACATTATTGTGTGCTGGCTGGATCATGCTGGAAAAGGTCCCACACTCACCTTGTGGCTGCTTTCGTCGTCTTAGCAAGAACAAGACTAGGGCTGCCACAGATACTATCACAACAATGACAAGTAAGGGGACAACAACATAGATGGCCAGTTTGCTCCTCCGTTTAGCAGCAAGCTGACATGTGTTGTCGCCGGTACAAAGGTTTGGATTGTTGCCATGTCTAATAAATCCATAACCAAGTTAATCAATGAATATGCCTAATGAAATTTATGAAGTGTGTATGCGTACCTTAGATTCAGGGACCCATCTTGAATTCTTTTGAGAAGTCCAGAGGGAACCGATCCATTGAGCCGGTTGCCAGACAAATCTCTGGAGGAAACAAATTATCACACTATATATACATGATAACTAGATAATTCGACCCAAATCTTATTAATTATTATGTATGTGTCATGCGTGTAGTGTTTGAGCTGCAATTAAATTTGCATGCATATTGACGAAGATGTCATTAGCTAAGTAACGCTAACTTGTTGCCCAACTTACATATCTGTCAAGGACTGTAATTGTGAAAGGGAATCTGGAATTGAGCCTGTCAAATTGTTGTTTGACAAATTCCTGCAAGATATGGCAACAAAACCTTTAATCTGTGAGAGTTTTTGTTGCTGAAACCTAGAAAAATATAAACCAAATAAATCTAGAACTCCGGATGTAGTACAAGTATTCGAGAGCCTTGAGATTTGCAAACGAAGACGATATATCACCATTCAAGCCACTGGATGACAGATTTCTACAAACAAAAACACATATACAAATGATCAGTTCCGCTATCCATAGCAAAATATGGAGCCTTTTGGTCTCTCAACTATTTCCCAGATATAGATTTGGTCCTTAAAGTTTGTAACAACACATCTTGGACTGTGGAATTTTCAAACTAGACAATCTTAGTCCCAGGCCTCAGCTAAAGAGGTAAGAGTAACACGTTGGTGGTACTGCACAGGAAAGCAGCCCATCACAAAACATAGGACAAAATAAAAACATTAATATCGTAGAAAATTTACTTAAAATGTGGGAATTATGAAACTGAAATTCCTGAAAACGTAGGGTTCCCATGGCAGGCGTAAAGTACCAGTTAAATATAACCCTTCATTCAACGGGGTACCCTTACGGTCTTACCTGATTTAGTTGAGCAAGCAGTTGCATATTATTGCTAAGAAATTACTATCTCGCCTACGAAAACATCTTATATTTTGACATAAAAATAATACTTATAAATCAACATCAATGTTCTAAAAATATCTACCTCTCTAAATAATTATAAGAGCGTTTCGATCATTACTTTAACCACATTGCTTTTTTTGGGAGGCTTTCATGTTGTGCATGTCTGTTTCATAGTTGGATGATACCAAATGAGCCCTCCAGTTGCATCGTGTGATTCATGCCAAAAATATCCAGGTATGTGATATGGATCAGATCCGGTAAATATTGGAAAGTAAATAGGGAAATGATTTGAGCCAGGCGACCGGCCTAGCCATGCGCTAGTCGCCTCCCATGAGGCGAGTGCCGTCATGGGCCCATGCACAATCTGTCCTCTACATCCTTATCTCTTCCTCCTGCATCTCTCTTTTTCTCCTTTTTGCCTCCCTACATGCTGCCCTGGAGGTATTGCGCGACCTCGATCATCTCCCTCCTCTCTCTCACATCTCCCCCAATGTCGTGCGCTGGTGACCACCAGGCACCACACCAATTCAAGCCGTGCACCCCCGTGTTGTGACGGTCACGTGCAACCATTGTGGGCAGCCTTGCGCTGACTGCTATCCATTGAACAGGATGGGGAGCTGGTGCTGCGGTCAAGCCGCCGTCGACTAGGGATGCGGTACTACGACTGGATAACCGGTAAGTCCAACCAACCTCACCGGGAGCTGTGACCGCGGTATGCCGAATATGTCACCAGCGGTGTCTCACGCTGCGACATGCCACACCGGAAGCTGCGACCAACAGTATGCCATGCTGGGATGGCGACCTTAGGTTGCTACGAACCGTCGATGCAAAAGCTACTACCTACGGCGGCAATTGGTGCAACCAGTTACAGCGATGCTATGACTCACGATGCCGGCGATGACGATTTTGCTGCATCCATCATCAAATTTTGCTCTGACCGACGACAACATTTGCTACAACCATTCATGCCGTTGTTGCGACCAATGATGACGGTGATGATGATTTTGATGTAACCATCATCAACTTTTTCTACGACCAACAATGACAACTGCTGCAACGAGCAGGAGTGCGTGTGCGATACAGGGACGAAGATGCTTGTGACGAGTAGCAGTGTGAGCAGGTGGGTTTGCCGGAGATGTTGCAACCACTGAGGCAATCTATTGCGAGTGTCTAGGCAATGCTGGGCGACAAACTTTTGCGTGCGCACGAGCCGTCGCGAGGACAATACATGCGGAGTTTTTTCCCTTTTTCGTCAGTGAGAGTTGACCCCGCCTATTGATCTCAAGCATACACGAGGCCACAATCGGACGGCTGGGCAGGTGACCGATCTGTCACCGCACCAGTCGGGCGGCTCCTAGCGGCATCCTGAAAACAATTTGAGCCGGGCAACCCGCCTAGCCACGCGTCGGTCGCCTACCATGATATTCGTGCCATCAAGGGTCCCACACACCACATGTCGTTTCTATCCTTATATCTTCGTGCCGCATCTCTCCTTTTCCCTTTTTCCTACCTATCGGCTGCCATGGAGTTCCTGCATGTGCTCAATCATCTCCCTCGTATCTATTGCATCTCCCCTCGATGTCGTGTGCGAACGACCACCGGACGACACGCCAATTCAAGCCACACACCTCGACCCATGATGTTGAAATTATGTCCTAGAGGCAATAATATCGTTTTCTTATATTTCCATTTTAAACTAAGAGTTTATATTTCATGCTATAACTGCTATGATGCTAATATGCGATTTAGTGAAAAACTCGTATGCATGCGTGAAATAATAAATTATAAAATATAGGTTCCCGGTCTTGCCTCTGAGACCGGGTCAAGTGTTGTTGGTGATCATGTTTTTTGGATCTTAGGATATCATTAAGCGTAATGGTAGTCCTAAAACAACATTGAGAGTATGACATTAGAAGAACGGTCATATTGAATCGACCCAATCTTGTTTGTTATACTTTGAGATAATATTGTCTGAAATCAATTGTTATAACATGGAGTGTTAAAATGTGTTTTTGTTCCTTAGACCATGAGACTATCGTAGTCACTTTCTACCGTACAATGGATTTTTGGGTTGCTCAAACGTCATCTGTAACAAGGTGATCATAACGACAACTTATAGGTTCATTGAGAAGTTTGACAACGGACTAAATAGCTCGAGAGTGGGATTTGGTCCTCCGACGATGGAGAGATATTCTTAGGGCCCTCTCGGTGTGACGGCATCCATCATTGTTTGGCCAGACACAGGTGGCTACGTCATGGGGATGCCAGAGCACACCAGCCAAAAAGAAGAACAAAATCGGCAACAAGGGCAATGATATAGTGAGCATAGTGATGACTTATCAGAATACCGATGTACCCCGGGTTTTGTAAAGTATCGTGAAGCAAAGGGAACATCACATGTAACCAAATGTTCACTCGAATGGCATTCGCATAATCATAGGGATTGATATGGACGTCCACAGTTCCGCTATCGGTCACTGAACGAAGGGGTTTCATTCATGCCTATGATTTACCGAACCTACTGGGTCAGAAGCTTAAGGTAATCATGATATACTAAGTATTAGTTGGACGAGAGTATCGATGATTTATTTCTAAAATAGTTTCGTTAATATCTGGAATAGTTCCAAGAGGAAACGGAAGCATTTCACAGTCACCCGAAGGGTTTCCGAGAGTATCAGCTAATACCGAGTATTACCAACAATTAATATATAGGTGAAAAATGTTTTCAGAGGTGTTAAATTATATATAATATGCTCTAGTAATTATTAGAGGGCTTTTATATTTAATTTAATATCAACGAACCTTGAAAGGCCAAACGACGGAAGGCATATTGGGCCACAAGGGCCCAATATGGGTGGAGTCCCCTTCTCCTATTGGAAAGGAATGAGGGATGCCGAATTGGGAATGATTCCTAGTCCCATGGCCGGCGCAAGGGGGGACCTTCCCTCTTCTTGTGGCTCCGCTCCCTCTCCTCCTAACCTATATATACTATAGGTTTTCCACTTTTTCAATACGCAAGTTTTGGAGCCTTCCTTAATTCTTCTAGTTCTAGTCAGTTCTAGTTGACTAATTACAGCTAGTTCTAGTTTCTCTAATCCTCATAATTAGAAGCCCAGCGTTGTTCCAATATCGTCCCTCTAAGGGGGGGGGGACCTTCCCCCTTTGTGTGGCGCCCCTCCCTCTCCTCCTAACCTATATATACTAGAGGATTTGCACTTCTTCAATACACAAGTTTTGGAGCCTTCTATAGTTCTTCCAGTTCTAGTTGGTTCTAGTTGACTAATTAGAGCTAGGTCTAGTTCCTCTAATCCTCACCCATTATGGTTCTAATCTCCCCCCACCCCCCCTCTAATTCTCAGGAGACGGTTAGCTCTGAAAGGTGAAGCGCTACCGGATCGTGAAGACCATATGCTTGCAACCTATTAGAGAGGCCGTGCTTTCGGTCCTCCATTCGAGGGATCATTTAAGGGCGGATCGCGGAACCGTTATCAATGTTTCGAGGGACTCCAAGTATGATCTAGACTGATTCGTCTACTTCCGGTGCACTCCGGAGTTGGTAACGATCGTTGATCCAAACCTTATATGCATCTTCTTATTGTTCCTGAGTGATGTAGGGCGAGTATTCTTTGTTTTCTACAACGTTTCCCAACACACTGCACTATGGGCGGCCACGAGCAGTTATTGCAGGGAGCCTCACGGTTACTGCTAACCCTCGCATGGGCTAGGCATTGGTGCTGCGTCCAGGCCGATGGCGACGGGGGATGCGGTGCTGCAACCGGCTAACTGGTAGTTGTCCAGCCTCATTGGGAGCTATGACCGGTGTTGTGCGGGAGCTGACACCGGCAGTGTGTTGTGATGTGACATGCCACACCTGAAGCTGCGACCAGCAATGCGTCATGCGGTAATAAATTTTGCTGCAACCATCATCTACTTTTGATATGACCATCAATGGCAATAGTTACAACGAGCAAGGAATGCGCGCACTATATACGGACGGACGAAGACGTCTGCAATGAGCGGTGGTGCGAGCAGGTGGGATTGCCTGAGATGGTGCTAACGCCGGGGCAATCTACAACAAGTGGTGCAACGCTGGGCGGCAGTTTTTTTCTACTCACGAGGTGTTGCAAGGAAGAGACGTGCGGAACATTTTTTCTCATCATGGGGGAGAGAGTTGACCTAGCCTGTTGATCTGGATCATATGCAGGTCCACGATCGGACGGCTAGGCAGGTCACCGATCTGTCAGTGCGTCTGTCGGGCGGCCCCTAGCGGTGCCCAAGTAGTTGGTAACTAAAAATAACACCCTCACGTGGTGCATCGTTCATTGCCAATCTGGATTACCAATTTACCTTTGAAATGAAGGTACTCTAATAATTTTGGTCGTGGTAAGGTATCCATATCGGAGTACCAAACAATTTTATCCATCTGATTAGAGTAGATGCAGGGTTTGAATTAATTTATGGGTACAGCAATAGAGCTCAAGAAGTATTATGAAGAACTATGAAATTCAAGATAACTCATAAATAAAAATCAAAGTGACAAAAATGTTTCCAAAATTTTATGAGTTTTCTTGAATTTCCAAGAATATTTAAAACCCATATCTGTTTTCCATTTTTAAATTCCCTTAGTTCCAATATCTTTTTGAAATCCTCTTGTTATTTCTATTTTCTGTACATAATCAGTGTTTGAGAAAGATGGTTGCTGTAGTTTTTCTCTACTTTTCAGTTTAATATAATGACTAGGCTGCCACGTTTCTGAATCAACATCCATATAATTGTTGATCATAAGCTTTGACCGGGTCAGTGGCCCATTATGTTTGTCCAATTTCAAAAGTTTATGGCTGAAGAAGTATGCATGATATTGAAGTTGAGGGATTTTTTTTTAAACAGAGTGACAACTAGTAGTCGAGGGGCCAAATATTGGTTTTTATGTACGTAATTAGGACTGTGTATTTTTTTATGAAATATAAGTAATTAGGTCTGGGTCAGATGAACTTCTTACATGCTTGTGATCCTTGGAGGGCTGGCAGTGGCATAGCTGCAATTCAGACTATCCCACATCATAGTCTTGGGAAAGCATGGATCACCCATCCAGTTCTTCTGCACCTTGTACTTGGCCTTGATCGCCATGGCGGCGGATGCTACACGCATGCTTGCAGTAGTTAATCACATCGCACCAACAATTTCAGTAGCACAAGGTAGATAGATAGATAGATACATCATGCATAGTAACGTAGATGTCAAGATGTGCTTAATTAGATGTCAAGATGTGCTTAATTAAATTTATTACCATCCTGGGATTCTGTACCAACGTTGGTGGTGGTGATGACGGAGAACACCTCGTAGGCATTGATGATGGGCGGCAGCGTGGAATTGGATGTGGCCTTGATGGAGATGTCGTAGCGGCTAACAGGGGGGTTGGCGAATTCATCATAGATGGTTGTTCTGGAGAGGTAGGCCGGCGTTACCGCCGTCGGGTCCCGCTCGTCGTTGAGATTGATGTAGAACTGGCGCGAGGCATTCGCGTCGAGGAGCTGCAACTCAGCAAAGTGGAAGACGGCGATGGGTCATTGGGCTGTGGCTCCGGGAGCCAGGAGAGCTCGATATTCTCGGAGGCGTTCAACGGCGTGATCGCCGTCTGCATCACCTCCATGGGCACCTCGAATCTGCTACCGTCGACATCCACCCTTTCCGTCGTCGACATCTCCTCCCAGATGGTGGCGTCAGACCTCGGGTCCCATATCCGGTCGTATGGATCATCTGGGAACCTGATGATTGTTTTGTTTATCGCGGCGAAGTTTCGTCTATGCAGCAGGAACAGCCCCAGCTCCGCCGTTGCCTGTGGGTAGAGCGACGTCTTCAGCGGCCTTAGCTCCAGCCCAGAGATGAAGGGCGTCCCGCCGCCGGTGTTCACCAGGCACACCTGCACCAAGTCGTGTGGAACGACAACGATGGCCTCCACCTCCGCCGTGTTGTCCTGGTCCGAACCCCACCAAGACATGTTCACCACCGTCCAGAAGTTGACGCCGATGTAGAGGTCGAACGACGCTGGTGGCTTGTTAAGGCCATCGTAGTTGCCATAGAGAAACGTGGCGCGGAAGAGGTACTTGAGGCCGGACACTATGGATCGTAGCGTGTAGCAGTTGCGCACACCATCGGGGAAACTCCGCAGGCTGCGGACGTTCCTGGAGCGCCACGGCCGGTAGTACTCAGCCAAGATGTTGTAAGGCGTGCCGGTGTCGGTGAAGCCAGCGTCCGAGACGTATAACAGGTTCGTCTCGTCGTCGACATAGCTCTCCTCTCCCATTAGCCCGCAGTCTATGCTGATGAAACCTACACACATGGATATGCAATCTAAAATGAGGCATGCACGATTACACGAGAAACTAATAACGAAAATAAGAATTTTTTTCTGCTTTTTTTCTGCCGGCGACGAAGGGCAGAGAGAGAGGGAGAGACCTCTGCTGTTAGGCTGGGAGCTAGCTTGGAGTACGCTGCCGCCGAGGAAGAGAATCAGCAGCCACCAGCGGGGCGCCATTGTTCTACTGGCGCGTTGGTTGCATGCAAGCTGCTAATGGAGAAGCGTAGTCATAATATATAGAACATCGCTAAGGAAACTACGTACATGCCTACTAATTAAGCATAGTATTATTTGCATACCCAAGGATCAAGTGTACGGGATTGGGACCCATGATTTGACAGTAAAAGTAAATCCTTGTTAATCATTGGGTATGCAAGTGTGACATGTGTAAGATTGATTTGGTGGAAGCGTTCCTACTCCTCCGTAGAGGAGCTGCGGGTATATATTGATCGAGGGCAGGAATAACCCCTGCCGTGGTTTACAAGGAATCTGCCGGTCGCTAGGATACGACAGGATAAGAGATAGGAGGTTACAAGGGAGAGGAAGAGATAAGTAGTTAAGATTACAATTAAATATCTCTATGTCTAACACCCTCCCTTAATCTGAACTACCTATCCTAGATTAAGATTGTTCTTGAATGCTTCAAATGGCTTGAATGGTAGAGCTTTAGTGAATCCATCAGCTACTTGATCTTTCGAAGGAATAAAACGTATCTCCAACTTCTTCTCTTCAACTCTTTCTCGTACAAAATAAAAGTATATCTCAATGTGCTTGGTTCTGGCATGGAAGACATGATTGGCACTTAAATAAGTAGCACCCAAATTATCACACCATAAACACGAAGTACGATGTTGCTTTACACCCAATTCCTCAAGCAAAGACTCAAGCCAAATGATTTCTGCAGTGGCATTTCCTAATGATTTGTACTCAGCTTCAGTACTTGACCTTGACACTGTTGCTTGTTTCCTGACACTCCATGAAAAATGTTAGAACCAACGAAAACAGCAAAGCCTCTTGTAGATTTTCTATCATCACTGCAGCCTGCCCAATCTGCATTAGAGAAAACACTAACAGGTGTAGAATTGGAATGTTTGAAACATAGTCCCAAGTCTACAGTATGCTTAACATACCGTATGATCCTTTTGACAGCTATCCAATGAGCACAAGTAGGAGCATGCAAGTATTGACATAATTTGTTAACAGAAAATGAAATATCCGGTCGTGTCAAGGTTAAGTATTGCAAGGCTCCAACATCACTTCTGTATCTAGTGCCTTCCTTCTCATTAAGTGGCTCCCCTTTATATGCTGACAATTGTTCTGATGAGGATAGTGGTGTGGGTGAAGGCTTGCAGTCCTTCATTCCCATATGAGCCAAGAGTTCAGTGGCATATTTTACCTGTTTCAACATTATACCATGCTGAACCTTCTTAACTTCAATGCCTAAGCAGAAACTCAAATCACCAAGATCCTTTCAGGCAAATTCTGAGCTTAGATCATGCAAGAGAGCATCAGTAGCATTCTGAGAGGAACTTGCAACTATAATATGATCAACATATATCAACACAAAAATAACAGTATTTGCCTTATTGTATATGAAGAGAGATGTGTCAGCTTTTGATGCAATAAAGCAAAGACGTTTCAACTGCACACTTAACCTGGAGTACCATGCTCTAGGTGTTTGTTTTAAACCATAGAGAGCCTTGTCAAGCTTGCATACATAATGGGGTCTTTGGTTGTTTTCATAACCCGGTGGTTGCCTCATGTAGACCTCCTCTTCCAGAACACCATGCAAAAACGCCTTCTGTACATCTAGCTGTCTTAAGCTCCATCCCCTAGACACATCAATAGCTAGCACAAGTCTTATGGTTGCAGCTTTTACCACAAGACTAAATGTATCCTCCTAATCAATACCATAACGCTGCTTAAAACCTTTAGCAACAAGACGTGCTTTATACCTGTCAATGGAGCCATCTGCCTTATTCTTGATCCTATACACCCACTTACAATCAATGATATTGTTACCTTTCCGGTTTGGTACCAAATGCAATGTTTTGTTTTTCATCAAGGTTGTGTACTCCTCATCCATAACCTTTTTCCTCCTTTGATCTCCAAGTGCATCATCTAGTTTTGTTGGCTTTCCTGAAGTGCACAACATACCATACGATATAGTGCCATCAGTTCTTATTTTTGGGTTCTTAATACCTTTTTGTAGCCGAGTTGTAACTCTGGATGTGGATGGTTGTTGCTGTACACGCGAGCGCATGGATTCGCTGATTGTAGAGGATCCCGGAGAAGAGCCAAGCGTTGCCACATCAGATCCGGTGGCCGCAGGTGTGGCCTGTTCGTCCACGGCCGCACCATCTGTTGCCGCAGCCGATCCCTCACCAACCGTGCCAGGTGGGCCTTTTGGCCACATGTGCGTGCCGCGCCTCGCAGTGATTGGCTGCATGCGCGGGCCAGGTGAGGGAGATTCTCCACGTGGGGATGTGGCAGCCGCGGAGCGCCTCGCCTAAGCCTGGTTCTCCAAGCCGACCGGCTCGCGATCCGAAGAGGATATCCACGCCCGATCCGAGAGAGATTGACGCGCAGGGTGGCAGGCACCACCAAATCGTCCTCGAACACCGCGTCCGCTTCGTCTTCTTCTTCTACATGAAATATAGCTCCGTTTTGGACGGGATTTTGATCATTCTGGTCGTTTTGAACTCCGTTTTCTTCAGGTACCTGCACACACGGAAGACAAGAACGGGTTCCAGCAGGAATATTATCATCATGTTGGTTGGTGCAATTGTTTCCCCCGTGATCAAATGCTCGAAGTGTAGGTGGAAGAAGAAGAATCTCTTGACGGAGAAGGGCGTCGGCATTAGGATGAAGAGACTCGAAAGGGCAAACTGATTCATCGAACACAACATCTCGAGATATATGAACTCTGCCTCTGGGAACATCTAAACACTTGACTCTTTTGTGCATAGGACTATAGCCCAAAAACATACATTTTTTGAACAAAACACAATTTTGCGTGTGTTGTATGTTCTTAGGTTCAGCCAACATGCGCAACCAAAGACTCGTAGTGATTTGAAGTCTGGTTTTATTCCAAACAGACGTGTGATGGGACTCTCGAATTTGATTACTTGACTTGGTCAAATATTTATGATATATGTGGCGGTGAGAAAGGCTTCATGCCAGAATTTTAGAGGCATGGAAGCATTGGCTAGCAGTGGTAGTCCTACTTGAACTACATGGCGATGTTTGCATTCAGCCGACCCATTTTGCTGGTGACCATGGGGACAAGAAACATGGTGAGAGATTCCAATTTTTTGAAAAAAGGAATTTTGTTTCTCATACTCACCGCCCGAGTCGGTTTGCATAGCAAGAATTTTTTAGTTTAGTTGACGTTCAATGAGGTTTTGGAAGTTGGTAAAAACTTGGAAAACATCAGATTGTTTCTTTAGCAAATAGATCCAGGTAAACTTGCTATAATCATCGATGAAACTAACATAATAAGAGAGTCTACCAATTGATGTGGGAGCTGGTCCCCATACATCTGAAAAAATAAGCTGCAATGGAGCAGTGGATACACTTGTTGATATGGGATAGGTAACCGATGAATCTTAGCTTGCTGGCAAGCATCACAAATTGACTCAACACTAGACTCATAAGGAAGATTATTCTTGCTAAGGACGTGTTGAACTATAACTGAAGAGGGATGACCTAGACGACTATGCCACTTTGCCAAGGAAGGTTTGGTAACACTCCATGCTTGTTTATTCGA